TACACAGCAGTAACAGTATTTGCCCGGCGTGATGTCTGACACAAGAGATGAAATAAAGAACTGAACACAGAGAAAAGACACACAAAAGAAACACATAACGGACACAAATAAACATTTAAAATATCAAAAGTGGTCAAGAAAGACTGACTCACTATCACCTATACACCTTCATCTAATATTCATTCACCTGCATGCCACACCTCATCCATTCGACCCAATTTATCCAGTCTTTCGATCCTCACTCGTCATCAAACGACGCTGAACTTAACCGGAAGTACATATAGGCTAATCTAGTCTCAATCAGTTAGATGTTTAATGGCATAGATCTTACGGGCTAAGCATCTGACTGACCCAGAAAACATAACTAATTACATAGACTGGAACCGACATTGGACTATATTATCCGTCATATACTATATGATATCAATATACAGTTTTTGCATGTCTAGAATGATTATCCAATATCTATCACCATTTATGTAGGTAATATATTATTCAACTGTTTTCAATATGTCATCATAATATATATTTATATTAAAAATGGAGGGGAAAAAAATAATGTAAACTGTTATTCTGATATTACATTCTATTTACTAATACTTATACCAGGAAACACATAATATCATAAGATTCAGTTTCATATACAATTCACTTTCAGCCCTTTCATACTTTCATAGTTGCGCAGCATCAGTCAAAATTACATAATAAATCAAAGAGACTATAACTATAAACAAATACAGTATTATCAATATAGACATATAATAGCACGTAATATTTCATTGTCAGAGGGAAAGAATGTCAATCACTACCTGATTAATCAATATGTACATAAGTATCGACAATTTCACTGAATGCCAAATCAATATATTTTGCACATATGTAAAGTCACTGATTTTCAGGTATGATTACTTACGAAAATTGTCATCGTTCACCAGGAATGTCTCCGACAGTATTGTATTAGAAAAAATTCTCCGTTTTTTTCCATTTTTCAATAATGCAAAAAGTTTTCCATCAGTACTCCATGAACGCGCAACACACTGAAGTTCAAAAGCAGCCTTCAACCTCTGTTGATTGATACGGGTCAAGTCCTCTGTGATAAATGTCCCCGATCCCTTTAACACTTTCCTTGTCTGGATGATTTCCATCTTCTTCCTTCGGTGGATGAACTTACAGATAATGTTACGAGATTTACCTTGCTGGAAACGCCCTAGTCTGTGTGCAATGTCAATATCAGATTTGCAAATCCCAACTTTCAGTTTGTCCTTCACGAAACTCACAATCTTTCCAACACAGTCTTCCACAGTCTCATTTCTATCTGCGTCTTCAAATCCCACTATCCTAATAGAATTTTTCCTCCCATGTTGTTCCAGATCATTTTGTTTGTTTTCAAGTTCCAGCCATTTGTCTTCTGAATCTGTTAATTGCTGTTCAAATCTGGTTACTGATTGTTTTAAATCCTCATTCTGCTCCTCTAAGTCGTAAATCCGACCCTCCATTCGCTCTATCAGTTCCCTATTTTCTCTTCTGATTTCTTCTCTTAGGTTTTTCATCTGTTGACACATGTCCTCCTTCATCGTTGACAGTATAGTGAATATATTGTCCAGTTTCTCATCTGTCGACATTTTCCCTTTCGATATGTCACTGAGCCGTCCAGACTGAAGTCCCTTGGATTTATCTTTACTATTACTGATGCTCCCGCTCCTGGTTGAAGCCATTTCACAAGACAAACTCACAGTTCAGGAAAAAAAAAACCCCCAACACTTTCAGCACAACAGTGTATAGTCAGATGTCCATACAGGTGTGTAATACAGGTAAGGTTACCTGTGTGTCACTAGGTACAGTATAGGTGATAGTGGTCACTAAGAGTGCTCACTGGACCATGGTGAGATCTGGTCTATCTTCAAAAGAAATGTTTCTCAAAATCCAGAAAAGACAGAAAAATCTGCACCAAAGACACCACAAATGTAATCTAAAGCACCTCCAGAATACACAGTGCAACATTCGTCATGAATGCATTGTTATTTTCAGCATAACAGACACTTTTCTAGAGAGCTCATAAACAACACCTCTGGCCAGGTCCTCCGTCCTTGACCCCTCCTAATAAAAACTTGATAAATAATTTGATGAGGAATTTTAACGATATTTTTGTTGCTGTTTTGAACAATAGAATGTTTATCTAGAAAGATGGTTTAAAAAAAAAGCAATAAATTTGGGAAGAAAATAGACCAGATTTCTGATACCATCAGCAACAGGTGCACTGTCTATTTCTTCACCCTGTTATGAGAGCAGGTGTTACATCTATTTCTTACTCTGGTTTTAAAAGCCCTGGTTGAGAGGGGTGGGGGGTGGGGGTGGGGGGTTACATTGCTGTGCAGGTGTTATGGAATTTTATCATACCAGTTGTTTATAAACTGTGGGCTGCTTTTCATCAGAAAAAGACAAACGGTTTTAATGGAGTGCTGAAAGATAGCAGGAAATATTAAACAGTAGTGAATACGTGCAGCTTGTGGATGTAATTTATACTGACTGTGTTGTAGGTAACTTAACTCATTTACTCCAAAAGTGGGATTCATTTTGTGGATTTTATGTTGTTGTTTTTTTATACCAGGGTTATATTTTTTGTGTTCTCTAATACTTATTTACTTTGAGGGAATTAAATAAGTCTAGACTGTATAAAGTTGTAAATATACCTGGAAACAGTCCCATTATCAAAACATTAAGTTTTGGCGTGTGTCATGTGGTCAGAATGAGGTTATCTGTGATTGAAATTTAACGCTCTTTTAACTTTATTTAAGTCTGGATCAAATTGACAGTTAGATGTATTTTTCTGTAATTCTAGTTTAATTGCATAAGTTGAACCCGAAATTATCTTCTGTTGTATCAGATTTTTGTTTTTTGCTTAGTTTCTCTCCGAATTCTTCTTCCACAAAAACTCAAATTAAGCATGCCTACGGCACAATTATGTTGTGACCTTTGTGACCTTTGAAGCAGGGGAACGTGTTAGAGATCGGCAATCGTAAGGCTGGCGGCCAAATAAAGACAAACTTGTTTCTATTTCAAAGAATAAAAAAGCTGAATTCATGACAAATGTCTAAAAATAAGTGAAGAATTTCAAGGCAAACTTCCAAAGAAGATTTGTTTAGACTTTTTTGCTATTTTTAGTCATACTTATTCCCATTTCTACATTGTGCATTTTTATGCAATGACAAAAATAAACATCAGTGCTAATTTTAGCAGTTGCTATTTTTTCCGGCACTATTCCAAATAATGCACATGAGATAGAGATTAGTGTCGTCATTTGAAAGTCCCTAGCTGTAGTGATCGTGGAAGGCTGATCAAGATCAACTGAGTGTTTGTAACTATCAGACAACCTCTTTTTAAATTGGTGATTACCTTACAATAGGATTTGATAACGATGGGGTGAAAGTCACTGCGATTTGACCGATTTGACTGAGGTCAGTCAGTACAAGCCGATCATCGGCTCCTATTTTAGGCTTCGTCCTGTTGGTTTGATTGCGTGACTTGATAAGATAATATTCTTGATTGGTTTATAAAGTTTCACTTGATTACATGTGTTGAAAACACCATCCTTTGTAGAACTAAATATCTGTTCCTGAAAAGTTCACCCCGTACAGGGTATACTTGATTGTATTTCTTTTGCTGGGTTAAAAATGTGAAATGATATAGATAGGACAAATTCAAAGTAGTTTCAAAAATAGTACTTCCTCATTTTGAGAAAATATTGTTTTTCTAAGTGAAAATCACTTCAAAATGTGTCTGATAATATTGTTTGATAAAGTCACAGGTCAAGGTCATTCTTACAAATAAAGTCAAGGTGATTTTTGGTGTCTAGATTTCTCAAGGTCAAAGTGGACCATGGGGTCAGATATTTTATAAGGCCAAGGTGATATTGAAGACAATATAAGTGTTGAGGTCAAGGTGATCTTTATGTGAGCTAGAGATGACCGTGGCTGGACACAGTTGCTAGGTATCAGTTCACTGTTAGTAAAAATGTAGTGCTTGACATCTGAACATGATCTACCCGTTGCTACGGTTACCATGCACAGGTGCAATGGAGGTAATATAACCTGCTATGAAATCAGGAACTATAGATGACAATTCATGAATTTCAGATGGCACATCTGAGATTGTAGATGACAAGTTTGAAATTACAGACAGTTTATTTTGCTTGTTGGTGGTTTAAATTTTGTTTAGAGTAGTTTTGATGTAGTTTCTTTATTTTTTAACAGATTTCTTAAATATTTGATGTTTTTCATGAGTAATTTTTGTGTCCTTTAATTATTTATTTCCCAAACCCTTTTGCCCACAATTTGAAGTGTGCATGAATCCCATCCTTTGAATGTTTCTGGAGTGGCAAAATTAAGACTTGAGTTTATCCCTATTTGACAAGTTTGTGATGAATTATGATAATGATCCAGTATTCTACAATTTCCTTTTGGAAAAAAGATCATTCCTGTTTCAAGTTGACTTGATTATGACCTGGCATTTTAATGTCAGGTATATCTTGGACACATTACATGAAATTAAAGTTTAATTGTATTTTTTATATTTCTGGAGAAATGTATGTGTCCAAGATATTTTGCTTACAATTGAGCTGAACTTGTCTCATTACAAGGCACTAAGACATTCTCCTTCAATGGGGGGGAAAAAAATAAGTTTGAAATTTAAAAAAAAAGACATATTCGAATAAGAAATATTTCGAAATTTGAAAGATTAAAATTAAAATAATGAACTACCTTTAACTATGTGGTGTACAATTTCCTGTTTTCTATGCCACAGCTGAAAAATTTACAGATTGCTGTCTTAAATATTTTTAAAAAAATGTTATGAATTTTTGAGACGTATGCATTCGTGTTTGATGATAGAAATTGTGTAATATGGTGAGAGCCTTGTATCGAGATAAGAAGCATTAAACCACACCTGCATGTGATGCATGCCTCTGTACACTTACGGAGGTCTATTTGCGTGTTTCCCTCTAGGCTGTAGAACCTGACGACTATGAAGAATATCTTCAGCAGCAGCAGCAGCAGGTAAGGACTTCAAAGCCGGCACAGCTCTCCACCAATCACAACCTCTGTTCTATACGTACAAGTCTTCTCCGTAACTACTTCATCACAAATCTCCTGATTGGTCCACCTTATAAATTTCAAAGTTAGTTTCATATGAAATACCTGGTAATCAGGTTTATTTTTGATTTTCTATTTTGCAAAATTATGCAATATCAAGTTGGCTACATGGCATAATTTTAAAGTTATTACAAAGTTTGTGATTGACTGAATTATCAAAAGTCTAATTCTGCAGGGAAAAAAGTTTTTAAAAAAATTCATAAACAAAGAAAGCATAATGGTAAAATTGAATAATAAGAAATAGGCATGACTTGTACGTATAAAACTGTCAAAGTGTCACAGCTGATGTCACGGCCGACATATAGAACAGCATGGATGGCCTATATCAAGCACAGGATACGGCTGAGCTGTAGAATTTGTCGCAGTTATTTTAAGTCGGTTTAAAGTATGTACGTGTATATATCGCTATTAACTACGGTAGGCTTCTAGACTTACTTGTATCTTATTTTAATGATGCTTTATTTGGTGACATATATCCGTATTTAAACTAGAAAGATTCTGCAAGTAGAGTTCAAGGTCATAAAAAAGATATTCAAGGTCAAGGACATCATTCTTTTCTTAATGAAAACAAAGAAAAAAGCTTGTATTCAGTTGTGATGCAAACAACTAACCATGGTCGGCTGATAGTGTAGGCTTTTAATGACCAAATTGAAAGCAAGAATATTATAACTTTGTTTAAAATGTAGATAATATAACCTACTTGTGTAGTGTATATTCGCTGTGTTTTCTAGTGTCAGTGGCTCTGCAGTAGAATAAGCCTTGCCTGCATGATAAATGGCAAACAATGGCTCAGAGATACAAACATGTATCTTTATTGACATTTTAGACTATACTTTGTAACAATTGAGGCAGAGTTTAGCATAGATAGTTATACTTTTCATGAAAATATCGAGTATTGTAAAGTCAGCTATGAATATGCATGCTATTTGACTAGAACACATTGCACTTTATAAGAAACCAATCGGTCCAAAGTCAGCAGAAATTGAGTCTGATTGACAAGGTTATGACTGCTGCCTATGTCGAAAAATTTACTGCATGTTTGCATTGTCTACTAACTTTGATCAATTCAATTTAATACCCAGTCTGTTGTATTGTGATCGAATGTATGCTTGATTGATTGTTACTGAAAATGGATTCAAGATTAGGATAGTGTTGGTTCAACTAAAATTGAACGATATTTCAAGATTCAATATGCGTAAGAAATTTACTTTAAGTAACTTTTGGAAATTTACGGAAGACTCTTGATTCTATGCCAAATTATTCCTACTACAATCAAGTTGATAGAGTAACACATTCTTAAGAAAATATGGTAACTTTTGAGTCAAAACGGGTGTCTCTATGGTAAATGCTGATTGGTTGACAGGGTCCGTTTCTATGGTTACTCTGTTACTATGGTTACATGGTTTGGTATTTGTTGACAGGTTGGTGCGGTAGAAGAGCAGCTATTGAGCGCAGACACTGTAGATAACGTACAGGCATCCCTTCCTGTCCAGGGTCTTTTCCAGCCTGTCGATTTCTGTATCCCCGTAGGACCTATCTTCAACTTCGTATCAGGTGAGTTGTCATGGTAACCATGTTTTTATGGATCATGAATTGTGGGTTTCCATGCCAACAGTTTGGATATTAATTTGTCATGGAAACATAAATTGAAAAGTATAAGTTTTACCCATTCACCCCTAGAGTCACATTTGAACCTTTCACAATCGAAGACTGGGCAAGTCCAGTTTAGATATGTAGGGGTGAATGAGTTAAGCAATTCAACATCTGTTATAATGTTAATTATAAGAAGGGCAAAATAACCTTGGTGTTCTAAATTTGAGGGATAAAGAAAAAGCTGTCCCAATGTCTGAGGACTTCAGTAAAAATGTGCTGTAGTATGGACGTTATTTAATATGTTCTACAATTTTATCCTAATACTAAAATTGCCTTAAAAACAGAAATATCTACCAATGCGATAGAACATCCAAACATTGTCAATTTTGGTTTGTAGCTTATGTTATAATGCCATCCGGAGAAAAGGCCTACCCAAAGATAGAGGATAACAAGGATGGCACCGTCACTGTCAGGTATCAGCCCACCGATACGGGACTCCACGAGCTCCACGTCAACTACAACAGCGAGCCGATCAGCGGTAAGACTGACACCAGAGAAGTGTCACATGACTATAATTTTGTGTTTCTGGACATTTGATTGGATGAGAAATTATCGGTTATCAATATTTTTCCAGTTGAAAAAACGAATCCGGATACTTTTATTGGAGTAAAGAGTTCATTTAGCAGAGAAGAGTTTCTCGATATTTGATTGGATGAGAGAAATCACTTGGTAGAAAAGCATCAAAGGAGTTACCATTAATCGTGAAATTGGATTACATAATATGTGTCAATATTCCTTGAACTTAGATCTTTATGATAAAACATCTAAAGGGTGTTATCAAGAAAACATGTTTCTGGATATTATATCTCATAAGTGAAATCCTACTTAAGCTACAGTAGTTTTGCCTATTTACTGTAATGTATTTGTGAAATATATTTTGTGCTTCTTTTTCCTTATGATTTCCTGCAGTGTTTAAGTCATAACAAGCTATTTATGTGTTTACTAAGACAGAATCATTTGCAGCTGTCTGCTGGTGGACTGATGCTTTAGTAAACGAGATATATCTGTTCAAAATTAGCTCAGGGATGTTTTCGTGTGACTTTTTCCCTATATCCGAAACGTTTTCGGTCTAGCAGACGCCTCCTCTGGCAGCTAGTTAGGAAAAGTAGTACAATTTAGGTCTGTCATTTAGTGGGATGATGGTTTTAACTTTGGGCCTTGCAGCAATCAGCTAATCGCGTCTTGATTGGATTTGAAAGATATAGTATTTTCCGGAGTCAAATGAATGTTAAGACATGTCAGGCAATTCGTAACAGTAATTGAAAATGTCAATTTTTAGCAAATGCCTAACGATGGTTAAAACTGGTGTCTATCAAACGCATCCTTATATTACAGTCAGGAACTGTTGGATATTTTCTGGAATGTTTCAAGAGGATAAAGCGGAATGTCTGCGAATAATGAGGACTGTTTTTAAAGCATGTTTGGTTGTTATTACACGAGTCTGTGATGGGTTGATTTGCCACTTATTATGTAAGATACAGGAGAGCGCTTGTTTGGAACAGGGGGTTCGTTGGAGGGGGGAGTGTAGGGGTTCATGGTTATGGAGAGGAATACCTTTGAGAAAAGTGCTCTGATAGCTTCGCCTATTAGTTCAGCAGCTGTCGGTTTTAATATGTAAAGCTCTTTGAAGTTAATATAAAGCAGACATTGTTTAATTTGGGATAAAATGTTGCTAACCATGCAGATTTTAACAAAATTACCTGTGCAAGCCTCTAAACAGATGTACCAACTGCTGTGATCAGCCACAAATGTATTTCTTAAAATTCAGAAAGGAACGGTCGAGGTTGACCTGCTTGCTAACTTTAATGTTTGTTTGGGGAAAGGTGGTCAAGTCTTCATATGGTCATTTTGGTAAAAGTGTTTCTGTTTGTACTGGTCAAGCATTCAAATTAACAGTGGTCAGTGCTCATCAATCATCAAATTGCCTTTCTCAACTCCCATACAAGGATCATCATATGAAAGTACAGCTTTGTTAAAAGTCACACAATCTTTACAATTCAAGTCACACGATTGTTTCTGACCATTACAGGAAGTCCGTTCCAGTTCCACGTAGATGCTGTAAACAGTGGTCATGTGACTGCCTACGGGTCTGGCCTGTGCCACGGCGTGGTCAACGAACCCGCAGAATTCACCATTGTAACCAAGGATGCTGGTGCAGGTACGTAATGGCATGTCATAAATTTCAAAATGAAAGATCCTGGAAAGAAATTTGATTGACTTCACCCTGAGTGTAAGAAAATTGTTTCTGAGTGAGTGGTCTATTGGTACGAGTTCATTTGGCACCAAGTAGAAAGTACTGTTGTGGACGAGCTAACTTTGCACCTGAAATTTAAGCCACAAGGATCATCAGACTCCGAGTCTTACATTTGTACTGTATTACCCTAAAAAATAAATGTATGGAGTTATCTTCCCCTGGTATCTTATCACCATGGTTTCAGCAACAGAGACTGTATATGCAATGATTTCTCCTTTAGATACGGAGGAGTGCAGGTTTTCTTTGATTGGCTGGTAGGCACTTGGATTTTTTTTGCCAGTTTATCTGTCTTGTGTGTGGACAAAACCCTAAAAGTTTCAACAGAAGCGTTGTTAACTCTCTGCACTAGTTTTGTCTGTAAACTACATTAAGTTTCACAGTCTCAAGTGGGAAGGGGGTTGATAAGGACGAGACCCACTGACTTCTTACCGTGAATCCTTGAGATTAAAGATTTAGGTTGTGTATTGGATAAACTTTTCTCCTTTAAATAAAGTTTCCCCCACCTTCCCCAACTCTCGATACATACTGTGAACACAATACCGTATTCACTGTAATAAACACACATTCTCAAATAAGCATCATCCCCTTCTTGTTTTTCTGTGGAAACAAAATGTTACTTGTTAATAAATAAATCTGAGGGTTGTTTTCAACCCCCCCCAATGTCTGATTGCTAGCTGCATTTCCATTTGATAAAATTTTAAGCTGAAGAAAGGATTTTAAGCACACAAAATGATTGTTTCTTATTAAGTCACAGGTATAATGTGTATAAGGTAGCATACAATCTTTCACTGCCTAGGGTTGTTTCTATTAGGTGTATTAGGGTATATCTGTAGGCTCTTATCTTGCTCAGAAATAATTCACTGATATGCTTATTGTAATTACTGGTTCTGATTTATAAATAACTTTTTATAATGGGAGCTGATATTTTTTTAGCAAGGATATTAATCCAAACCCTTCCATTTCGTTTTGGTATCAGGAAAAGTGATCTTTATGGGATACTATTGTGAGTCTCCAATTTCTGGCTTTTGGGCAATTTACCAGAAGTCTTAATGGGAAGGAAAGGAAAGGTAGATCCTTTAATGTTTTTATAATGAGCATTCTTTAATACGATGCTGAATGGGTAATATGGAAACTAAAGGAATTAACAAATGAGGATGGCAACAAAGTTGATGTAATGGCTATTTTATGAGAATGGAAGGTGGCAACCTAGTTGTTGTAATGGATGCATAATTTCATTTGGAGGGTGGCAACCTAGTTGATATAATGGCTATTGTATTAGAAGGGAGGGTAGCAACACTGTTGATGTAATGGATATTAAAAAAGGAATGTATGATATTTAAAATTTCAACAGAGTTACACCAATAAACAATCTAAATGAAAAATAGGGACTTTGATCAATGATAATGATGTACTCTGTTGCAAGAATTACATATTTATCACAGCACTTATATAATCAAATCTACTGATAAAAAGAAATTCCATTTTTGAAAGCAAAATGAATTGATATTTTTTCCTAGCAGAACTGTTTCTTTTTCTAGTTATGCTTAAAGAGATTTTACATTTGTAAGAATATTATGCCAGAGGGAATATTCCAAATAAGTGATCAGAAAGGGTAAAGGTTGTTTACAGTTAATATGATGTATCTCGGTCTCTCAATACACTTTGTAGTGAGAATTATAAGTGTTCCTCATAGCTGTTTAATTTTTGCAACTTGAAAATTTTAACAGACAAATATGGAAATTTTATTCCTATATTTAGAAGTTCATTCTATATTTTGTATGGAAATATGATTGAAGCGTATCATCATATTACAAAGATAACACCGGGTTAGGAACATAGTAAATATGAACTGCTGGTATAATTAGGCCTTCATCTTGAGGTATAAGTAGGCAATTCCCTTTGACTATCCTACAGATAATCTCATAACCCAAATAGCTCTTCTTCTTTACTTCAAAACATCATTTCTGGAATCGGCTTGAATTATTTTTTAGAAATAGATAAGTGAAACCAACATATAACCTTCCAAAGATACCTAGGATCACCCTCCGAGATATATTTGGTTAAGAAAACAAGTCTTTCGGCCAACAAATAAGAAAGGTTTGGTGAAGTAAGCCAAATGATACTGATTACTTAAGTCTGCCTGGGGAATGATATTTGGGGGTGTAGGCTGCTGGCTAGTTTCCTATGTACAGTAATGCTAGGTGGCTGTGGTATGTAGACTTGTTTAATGGAAAAGACTTTCTGGACACTGCAATAGTCTGACATTGCAGAAGGACGTGGTGTTCAAAGTTGTGCTGGATCCTTAGATTACGCTTTGTTTGTTTTGAAGTATTTTTCTGATGGATTTTCGGATAATTTGGAGGTATTCACATCTGTAAGTCTGAGGGGTGTTCACATTTGTAAGTCTGAGGGGTGTTCACATTTGTAAGTCTGAGGGGTGTTCACATTCATCAGTCTTTGAGTAACAAATATTCCTGTCCGTAAGTCTCCAAGGTGTTTACATTTCTATGTCTCCTCTTGGATATCAAGTTACGCAAGTGAATTGTTGTCGAAATATTTCTCTAGCTCCGAGAAATCAACATACTTTTAAACATTCGGTCAAAATGTGGTAAAAAACAAAACAAAACAAAAAACATACCTTATGCGATCTGTGTTAGAACGACATTTGCTTATGCAGTACTGTTTTCAAATGTATAAAAATAATTTGATTTTGATTATCTTGATTACATTCTATTATTTAGATTATAAAAGAGCTACTTCAGCCTGAGTTTATTTATACCTGGTGATTTGAAATATCAGGACTTTGTGACAACCTGAATCATCGCTGCGTTTGTTTTTTAGGTGGTCTGTCCCTGGCCATCGAAGGTCCTTCCAAGACCGAGATTAAATGCCAGGATAACGGAAATGGCACCTGCACAGTGTCCTACATACCCACAGCCCCCGGAGAATATAACATCACCTGCAAGTTTGCAGATCAACATATTTCTGGTTCACCATTCACCGCCAAAATCACTCGTAAGTTATAAAAAAATGATTTCGGTTGTCTGTGTTGTGCATCCTATCAAAGTTTATGGCCAAAGTCATGAATGCTTCAATAAATATCCGGTTTAGAACACAAAATTTGGAAATGGAATTTTACATATTGGTATATTTTCTGATCCTTTTAATGAAAATCTTATTAAAAGATGTGTTTTATCCATTTTCATATTGCTGTACAGCTGTACACCAGGAAATTTTCACAGTAATTAATTTTTGGCCTTCTGCAATGAGGGCAAATTCATCATGACAGCGTTTATGAGCACACCGCATACTCTATAGTACATTAAATGTGAAGGAAGAAATCTACATTTTGGCCAATACAGATTTTACCAGTGAAGGGCGAATATTTGACTTGGCAAAAAGCATACAAGATATCATAAAATAACAATTTCGTTTGTATGATGTCCTTTTCAGCATCCACTGAGGTGAAGAAGCGAGCCCAGATTGGTCGTAGTAGTGAGGTTTCTCTCAAGGTCACAGAATCGGACATCGGTAGTCTGATGGCCACCATCAGAACTCCATCTGGTAGCGAGGAACCGTGCCTGCTCAAACGTTTAGCCAACGGTCACTTAGGTAAGTAATGGGTCACATACCTATTGGTCAGTTACTGAGAATCACCTGTGTATGTAGTGTAAAATCTCTAATAGGGATCTGTAGGGTCAAATGTGTGGGACCAGTGGTCACTTTAGTAGGCTGAGGGTCCAAACACAATTACAACCCTGGGGCCTTGTGTTTAGAGATTATAATTGGATGTCAGAGTCGAAGCTTTGTTTTGTTGATAATAGAATTAAGTACCAATAGTTTTTAGTGTCAAGCAAACCAAAATACAATTTGTCAAGGCAGTTTTACTTAAATTTTATGCTAATTTTTTAATTTCTTAAAACCATTTTCTTTTTTCTTTTTCAGGAATCTCATTTACTCCCCATGAAGTGGGAGAGCATTTAGTCAATGTATTTAGGAATGGAACACACATCAATGGAAGTCCCTTTAAAATCTACGTGGGCGAGAGTGAGCTCGGAAACGCCAGCAAGGTCCGCGTCGATGGACCCGGCCTGCAGACAGGAATGGCCAATGAAATCAATGAATTCACTGTGGACACTAGGGATGCAGGTGAGTTGTCTAACTGGTTAGTTCTGGTGTGACATTTGCTAGTTTAACTACACAAGATATGTTTGAGAAGACGAAAGTTTTTGTTTGCTAGGTTATAGCGGTAATTGTCATGTTTTTCTGTTGTTAGGTTATAGTGGTAATTGTCATGTATTTCTGTTGCTTGGTTATAAATGTTATTGTCATGTTGCTAAGTAACGGTAATGATTGATTTGTTTTTCTGTTGCTAGGTTACGGTGGTCTAAGTCTGTCCATTGAAGGCCCCAGCAAGGCTGACATCGAATGTTTGGACAATGAAGACGGAAGTTGTCGCGTAACCTACAAACCAACGGAGCCTGGAAATTATGTTATTAACATCAAATTCGCAGACCAGCATGTGCCAGGTCAGTTGATATTAAAAGTAGAAAACTTATAAACACAATTACAATGTTTGGTAAGCAATGAAGGTGGCGAAAGCTGACCATTTAACACCCGGAGCATTACAGAGATGAAACAGTTCCTTACAGGAGAACACAAAACAAGACGTGTTTTAGGAAATCATGTTCACAAACCGCTGTAAACAAATATTGAAGTACTTCGTAATGATACAATGAAAACAATCAGAAAATAATGCTTCTGAACCTATTTCCAACATTCTCCTAAAAAGTTGCCTTCCATGTGCCTTTTTACTGAAGAATTATTTGCAGATTTTACGATTAATTTATTAGTTGTAATGTCCTTAGCTAGTTTATTAGTGATGAAATACCTGTAATAAGGGGTCATACCAAGTGATGATAATGGTTACTGCCGGAAACCACTGTTGCAGTAAAACACATTTTACACATGGCCATAAATCAGGCTTGCGTTTTTGATCCATTAACAACACTGGTTTGCTGTAAGGTAGATAGAAATGATAAATGTTGATTATCCAAGTTACAACATCTTGAACAGTAGTTTTTAACAAGATTTTATTTATTGGAATGACCGAGAAACCTATTTTGACAGAAGCCAAATACAATAAATTAAACGTCTGCCCGGTCGTTTGTCAGATTTGGGGATTGATAAGTCGGGATGAATGTCGGTTAATGTATTTAAGACAGAAGTGTCAAACTGTCAGTCATGCTCCAGTCTGATTTTTTTTTTATTTTTTTTTTTTTTATTATTTCTTTACTGTTTATAGGCAATGGAACAAAATTTGGTTTACTTTGAAGGGAAAAAAAATTAGGTTACTTGTGTTAGCTAGTTAAGGAAGTTTTGACGGAGTTGGGGGAAGGGTAGGGGGAGCAAGGATATGTTGGTGGATGTAGGTAGATATGTATCTCACACCAGTAGAGAAGGGGACGTACTAGGATTGGTATCAGTGTAGTATCGTGGGCAGGGGGGGGGGGTCTGGGTGTAGTCAGTTTTATACTTGTGTCAAAGAAACACACCAGGGGGCACTTATCTTATATTGTAATTGAGGAATTTATACTGACATTTTATTGGATGATGTGATATAAATTATTAGGGTTATTTTTTGATGGTGGGGGTGTGATCAGGGCCAGGGGGTGGGGAATGGGGGAATGGGGTTTGGAATGAGGCAGAAATTGGAGGGATCAAATGTTAAATTTTATTATCATTTTGTATTGTCACTGTAGCATACAAATTTAATTGTTAGAAATCGTTTCTGTTTGATAAACACACAGAGAGATGAAATATTTACTAGACTTTATTTTGCTGTTGACCGCTCAGTATTACACAACTTTGCTAATTGTTTTATGCTAATTTGCTGATTGTTTTGGCTGCTTTCCCAACTAAAAGGAATTCTACAATTTAGCGAAAAAGTGATGTTTCCCAATTCCCTAGCTCGTTTCAAATGGGAGGTGTGGCGGAAATTATCTATAAAAACGGAGTATTTCTGTTTCTGGTTTGGACTGTCTGTAGACATGATATGTTTTGAGTTGGTTCCAGTAAAACGTTTTGTGTCTAATTACCGGCTGATATCGTACAAGGCAAGACATTGCTGTACCAAGGAATGAATTCTGTAGTTTATCGCAGCTTTTGTAGGTAGTTTAATTGTTACGTACGGCAATGCAATGAAACCTATAAAACTTAATGGGTGATAAAACCAATCAAAGACGCATGCTGGCCCCGCCCACCTGAAGATTATGATTACTGAATTATGATTTTGCTCAAACATTCAAATGAATAAGATGTGTTTTACTGCGCAATATATGATGACTAGACAAAGCACTGAAGGTTGTTTGTGTTATGTGAACACAAATGAGGCCATTTTTAAATAATGTGATTTCATACAGATCATAAACAAATGTTTTTATTCCATGTACAACTGTAATGGCTAACAAAATGAATTTTTAAAGAATCGGAACATTCCATCTGATCAATCAATGCTAAAGATTTAAGCAACTAAACTGTTATAAAATTTGAGTCTTAAGGAATTATCGTCTTTAAAAAAACACTAAAATGACAATAACAAAACTTCGGGTGATTTTGTTTTAATAGGAAGTCCACACACGGTAAAGATTGGTGGAGAATCTACATCTAGAATTACGGAAAGGATCACGCGCCACAGAGAGGCTGCAGACATCACTCATATCGGCAGTCAGTGCGAACTCAGCCTTAAAATACCAGGTAAGGCTCGTTATGTCACCTGTGTGTCGTTAATCTCACCTGTGGGCAATGCTACGGGCAGCACTTGTCCAATGTTTTTAACGATATGTAGCTTGCCTTTGATTCACATATTGTGAACAGGATATTCTGATATTGTGAAGATTTGTAGAATTGTTCACTAATTTCATTAACTCATTACAACAAACTTGTGTTTCTACAGGTGTGTTACAACTAATTATCTAAAATTGTTCAGGTGCAATACACCTTATCACCTGTGTCTCTTCAGGTGGTAATCTTATTAATGAGTCAACTAATTGATTAACCAGGTAGATTAGTTAATTGGCACTAGTAATTCACTATTTGGTAGACGATTTAACAAATTTACTTAACACGCATGCAAATATTAAAGACAATTGTAACATAACCCTTCAATATTTTACAATTTTACAAAGGTGTAATTGGCAATTCAACATCAGAATATGTTTCAATGTCAAATCGCGGAAAACTGTTTTTGGAACTCACCAATATTCACTAAACAACCTGACAGATATTCACTCAACAGTCTGCACAAAAACACCTATTTAGGATTCCTGAGAAGGTTATATTTAGTTGGACTTGCCATTTCATTTTTATCACAGCAGACGGATTCTGAAATTCCAAAATTCTAAAATTTCACCGTTTTCCGTTAGAAAATAGACACTTCAGCAGGCAGTTTTGTTTTTGGATCATAGACACTTGAGTAGTCTGTCTATATTGTAAAACAAACATTCTTGAAACTTTGGCAGAAATCCACACTTCTTCTGGGTGTGCAAAAAAAAATGGCCTCGTAAATCTTGCCTGCTGCACTTGTTCAGGGGAAATAGTTTCTTAATGTGCAATAATAAAGATCCATTAATCGTCAATTAAAGTCCCATTAAAGATCAATTAAAATATGTTATAAATGCTCCCATTAAAATTCTGTGAGTGGTGTGGGGGTAATGGGCATTCTATATACCTACATTGGTAGTGTGTTTTACGTTTTGTAATGGTGTCAGCTTTACCAATTACAGAATCGTTATAAGTTGCAGTGTTTAGAAGTTTCCTACGCAGATAAATTACTGGTAGGCCTTCATGAATGAAAAATTCAGTCTTAACTTTACGATCATTCATTAGAAAATATACACTCTCCGTGCTTGGAACCACTCTACAATTTAAATGGGGCGTTGTATTACCTTGTTTTACTGGCTTTGGTTCCTTGGTTTATCAATCTTCTTGGATCAAAGTATAGGGCTGTCAGAAACTGCCAAAATATTTCAAAACTGGGATTGGGTTGTGGCCAAGCTATTTGTTTTCTCAACAGCACATGCCAATATCTCGAGACGCATCTTTTTCATCCCTCTTCACTGAAATACTACCAGGGCGTAACATACATTTTTTTTTAATATTAAAGCTTTTTTCCTGTTTCCCATGTAAGTGTAAGCTCGCGTATCAAGTTTGATATCAGAACACACCGACCTTGAGGATTTATTTCCAGCAAGCTTGAGCTATAAATAGCCTCTAACTTATTTATAACTATATGTGTAGGCATTTGGGTGATTACGGGCGGAAACGGATGAATGATTTTACATTGATGTTTCGATGTTACATAAGGGGATTTCTGTATCAAGGAAGATTTAACGATAAGTCATAAAATTGCTTTTAATTTTGATAGCATTGAAGAAATTTGTTTGAAAATCTTAATATCTGAAGAGGTGAATGTGTGTTTAGCTTTGAACTACACATGATGATAAGAAAAAGCATTTGTAAGTTTATCACATTTTTCTTCTTGACAAGCATTCCAACTATCATAGCCACCCACACCCTTTATGGGTTCCATTTACCATGGTAATCGTTTCCAGGGAAGAACTAGATTATCTGGTTGCCATGGAATCGTTTAAGCTGTAAGCAGACACACTTGTGTCCATACATCACGTGCCTGATTTAACAGTCGTAGTAACTATCAGAATGATAGATGGTTTGTAAAATAATTGAGTTTGTTACTTGTTTGGTACGATAAAGATTTGGGAGGCAGTTGGTGGATGGGGAGTAAGTAAACTTATCAGAATTCACAGTACGCAGGAAATATTCACACACTAAACATTCGTAGCTTTTAGCACTTTAAAGAAATAAAACACAAAATACTCACCTTCCAAGCAAAACCTATCTGCTTCAATACCTACTGTGTTCACAACAATCATACACCCATTACACAAATGTCACTTTTATGTTTAATTATTGGAAGTTGTCCACCCATAATGCATCATTTGATCAGAATCTGTTTTAGATGTCGTAATCAACTGTTCCATATTCGTTGTAACCATGGCAGCCATAAACAAAACTTATTGTAGCCATATAGAACCTGTTCCAAACTTGTTGTAACCATGACAACTGGTCAACCTTGATTGAAACCAGGGCAGCTGTCCTCATTTTGTGTAACCATGCCAACTGTTCAACATCTTTTTGTAGCCATGGCAACCTCTCGAAATTTGTTGTAACCATGGCAACCATGCCACATTTCATGTTACGGTGGACATTCTTTAAGTATTTGTTATAATCGGAGTAACAGAACAACGGGTTTGCTGTTTTATTGTAGTTCAATACTTTGCCAAAATGGGTGCCTTTAGGATATTAGAAACACATGTTTCCAAAGGTATAGTAGTAACAGCTATGAGAGGTTGATGACCTTGCTATTGTTGTTGTAATTTAAGCCCCTCCCCCCAAATCCCTCCGCCCACTCCCGCGTTGGCACCTGAAAACACAATGCTATTTAAATAAATGTCTCAGATATACGTTTTTCAATATTATCATTGAGGTTCGAACTATTGGATGTTTGTTGCATCACACAAATATATTTTTTCCCCTGATAAATGCAGCCCAACCTTTCATTTTTTTTTTTAGATTTTAGATATATGTTTTAAAGCGAAATAGAATTTACCCTACCCTTGTGATACTTGCCTGCTAATTTTCCTGTTTATGGTTTGTGAAATTCAATGAAAGCTACCAAATGTTAATGTACCAATGAAAAGCCTCCAGTTTGATTGGGTTGTTTCATTGTACAGATATCTGTGTATATATAAAAGTGTTGTAAAAATTACCAGAAAGAAACGCTTTCTTCTCCCAGACATTATACCTTTTGTGACCTTTTGTAACCTTTGTGAACAAAGACCAACACTTGTTGACCCTGCTACACTTGTTAGCCCTCCAATGAGAACCTCTGTTCTGTAAGTAAGCATGAACATGGTGACTCTCCCAGTGTTCTCCAACATTGAATTTCTGTACGGAATTGCAATAATCCAAGAAATGTGTCATTTTTGAAAAGTATAAACAGAATGAGCTTGTGTGATTTGGTCCATTCCATGTTTTTTTCATGTTTTTGTTAATTAATTTTTGTTGAGCTGTATTATTTGGTTTCACACAAAAACAACCAAGGAATTGGCATGACCACATTATCATTATTTTTTTTATTATATTTTCATGAATGTACATTTTTTAACATCAGTAACTTTTAATGTGAAGTAATATCAATCATTCAGAAATGATAACAGCTTGTTTATCATTCAGTAGGTTAATAACTTCAGCTGACTAATATAATAATGTCCATGTATTGTATGTTGTCTGCTTTTCTGTATGCAAATTAAACCATACATTTAACTTTATTTGTACCATCTAATGCATCCATTTTTACTTGGTAATTAATGTTATAAGTATTGATCTCATTAACAAATCTCTGTATTAATATTCAGAATTTCATTAAGATTTACTAAAATAAATATATTCAATAAACAGTGTTCCCTTTGAAGGATGAATAAACATTAAGTTTTGTGTTGTTCATGTTTGTAGGAACGAGTCCGTTTGATATGACCGCCTCCGTAACCAGTCCGACAGGTGTAACAGAGCTATGTGACATCATCAGCCTAGACGACAGCCATTATAGTATTAAGTTTGTTCCCAAGGAGATGGGTGTACACACAGTTTGTGTGAAACACAAGGACATGCATATTCCAGGTACAGTTATCCCCGCTTATCACATACAAGCCTGTTATAAGATTATCTGCCTTTATGACACAGTTATTTCCCATTTATCTTACAATTATTTCTCATTTTATATAGATATTCCTCTTTAAAATACAGTTATCCCTTTTTATCATACAATTATCGCCCTTTATCAAATAAAGTAATTCACTGTTTATTTTTCTTTATCGTAGTTATCTCCCCTCCCATGCTGTTGCCTATTCCTATCTAATGTTAATATAAGATAATGTATTAGGAGAAGTTCAGTCCATATTTTCATGTATAAATGTGTTTTGTTGGCAGTTTTCCAGTATCAGTGAGGTTTTATTGGTATAATATTTCTTTGTTACAGGTAGTCCATTTGAGTTTACTGTAGGTCCTATTGCTGGTGGAGGTTCACACAAGGTACATGCTGCAGGGCCCGGTCTGGAGAAGGGAGAGATCAACGAACCCTGTAAGTGTGTGATTGTGAAATGGAATAAATTTATTGTCCTTCAGATGCAGGATTGAGTGGATATAATATATATTTTCCATGTTGAGTATGTTGCATTTGTCAGTTAATCACCTTTGCCTTAAAGTTGAAGTAAGATTCCAAATTTTCTGAGTCCGTCATATATTTCTCTTTTTGCATATTTAAAATCTAAAAACTATTTGCCCCATGATTTGGCATATAAACATACCTTTCCTTGATTTGCAGGTGAGTTTAACATCTACACACGTGAGGCTGGAGCAGGTGGTCTGTCGATCGCTGTAGAAGGTCCTTCCAAGGCGGAGCTTGACTTTGACGACCGTAAGGATGGATCCTGCGGTGTCAGCTACACGGTGACAGAGCCTGGAGAATACTTGGTGTCGATCAAGTTCAATGATGAACACATACCCCAGTCACCATACAGAGTCTACGTCACCCCCAGCATAGGCGACGCCCGCAAGCTCTCCGTGTCCGCACTCCAGTCCAAGGGAGCAGGAGTACGTACACAATGGTTTATAAAAACTTTCATTAGATGTAAATTATTGACTAAGTGAAACATCTACCTCGGGAAATATTTATTGCTGGGTTTGGAGGATAGATAACTGTCGTGCTGTTTTATTATATGACAACATTTTTCTTTGTTACAGATTGGCAAGCCATGCTCATTCGTTATTCATTTCAACGGTGCCCAGCCAGGCAAGGTCAAGGCCATGGTTCTGACCCCATCCGGTGCTGAAGAGGAGGGATTCATCCAGGAGATTGATGATGGTAGGTTTGATTGATATTGAGTGAAAAAGGGAATAATTATGTCTCGTTGGGTTGTGCTCATCTGGGAGTGTACTCTTGAAACAAGTTCTTTTCTTTGAAATGAGATTTATGAGTTTGACATCAGTTGATATTGGAATTGGAGAATTAAAAGGCTGTGCCTTGTTCCAGAGAAAAAATAATGGCTGCTTACCTGTTAGTTGTCAAGGCTGATGCAATGGAGGCTCCAGCATTTGAAATCAATTATAATTGGTATATCATAAAAGAAGATAACAAGAATTTGAAAAAATGTAGAATACACAATCTCTTTATTTGATAAACCTTGCACCACTGTAGACCATAATGAACTCATCTAATTGAATTTATGGTAGAGTCTGTGCAAGTTACCTAAGGGGTGAAAGAGTTTGTTTATGTTATTTAGTCCTTTTCATGGGTATTGTTTTCTGTACAACAGGAGAGTATGCTGTCCGGTTCATCCCCAGAGAAAACGGTCCCCACATGGTCTTTGTCAGCTATGACAAATGCCAGATCCCAGAGAGTCCATTCCGTATCATGATCGGAAAGGTTGATGCTGATCCGGGAATGGTCCATGTGTCTGGAGACGGACTCAAGACCGGAACAACCGGTAGGTTTACTTATGTCTGACAACGGTTTGGTTTAGTAATTCCAAAAAAACAGCAGGTTAACCTACTTCTGGATAAAAATAATTGCTTCAAAACATTAATGTGTTTTCCTAACAAGCAGTATTATTTATGAGATATTTTTTTCTTTTGGGTCAGTGTGCACGTGGGTCAGATTGAAAATTTGGGCTACAGTTCAGTGTAAAGGGAAGTAACTCAGATATCGTATGTATGATAATCTAAAAATATTTTAACACTCAAACACTGAATCGGATCACATTGTCCACTTGCTGTATGACGTGATGAACGCCACTTTATCATTGCCCCGTATCTTTTAACAGATGAGCCAGCCAAGTTCTTCGTCAACACATGCAACGCTGGAAGTGGAGCTTTGGCTGTCACAGTGGAAGGACCTTCTAAGGTGAAGCTGGAGTGTAAGGAAACCGAGGAGGGCTACGAGTTCACATACAAGCCCACCGCTCCTGGGGGTTATCTCATCTCTATCAGATACGCTGGTTCCTATGTCGCCGGTAGTCCATTCAAGGCCAAGATCACAGGTCAGTATTAAATATCAGTGATTCTGGTCCTCATTAAAATTTCTGGAAAACTTCCCATTATGACAGGTGCCACATGTGGCAAAAGAAAAATGCACAACTTCTTAAGACTTTGATTGAACTTCTTAAATTTTTCTTGCAATTTTTTTCTTTTTTTGCTTTTTACTTCAAGGTCTCCTCAATTCTTGTTACTTTCTTTCTATATTGAATTTTGGATTCCGTTTTTTTTATACTATGTTAATTGAAAAGTAGAACACTTGTGTGTTTTATTGTAATTCTGCGGGCTCTTGTGTGTTTTATTATAATTCTGCGGGCTCTTGTGTGTTTTATTGTAATTCTGCGAGCTCTTGTGTGTTTTATTGTAATTCTGCGGGCTATTGTGTGTTTTATTGTAATTCTGCGGGCTCTTGTGTTTTTTATTGTAATTCTGCGGGCTCTTGTGTGTTTTATTATAATTCTGCGGGCTCTTGTGTGTTTTATTGTAATTCTGCGAGCTCTTGTGTGTTTTATTGTAATTCTGCGGGCTCTTGCGTGTTTTATTGTAATTCTGCGGGCTCTTGCGTGTTTTATTGTAATTCTGCGGGCTCTTGTGTGTTTTATTATAATTCTGCGGGCTCTTGTGTGTTTTATTGTAATTCTGCGGGCTCTTGCGTGTTTTATTGTAATTCTGCGGGCTCTTGCGTGTTTTATTGTAATTCTGCGGGCTCTTGCGTGTTTTATTGTAATTCTGCGGGCTCTTGCGTGTTTTATTGTAATTCTGCGGGCTCTTGCGTGTTTTATTGTAATTCTGCGGGCTCTTGCGTGTTTTATTGTAATTCTGCGGGCTCTTGTGTGTTTTATTGTTATTCTGCGGGCTCTTGTGTGTTTTATTGTAATTCTACGGGCTCTTGTGTGTTTTATTGTAATTCTGCGGGCTCTCGCGTGTTTTATTGTAATTCTGCGGGCTCTTGTGTGTTTTATTATAATTCTGCGGGCTCTTGTGTGTTTTATTGTAATTCTACGGGCTCTTGTGTGTTTTATTGTAATTCTGCGGGTTCTTGCGTGTTTTATTGTAATTCTGCGGGCTCTTGTGTGGTTTATTGTAATTCTGCGGGCTCTTGTGGGTTTTATTGTAATTCTGCGGGCTCTTGTGTGTTTCATCGTAATTCTGCGGGCTCTTGTGTGTTTTATTGTAATTCTACGGGCTCTTGTGTGTTTTATTGTAATTCTGCGGGATCTTGTGTGTTTTATTGTAATTCTGCGGGCTCTTGTGTGTTTTATTGTAATTCTGCGGGCTCTTGCTGCTAAAATTCAAAATTCAGGAAGAGTTTGCATTACTTTTACTCTAGGTTTAAAACATTTAGATGGAAACAATTTAAAATTTCAACATTAATAATTGATTTTTTTCAGAATGAATATCATAAATTTGTTAGATTGTTTTTTCCGGGATGTCGACTAAACCTTTTCTGCCTTGCTATTACTAGGACAGGGAAAGGAATCCAGCATGCAGGAGATGTCAACATGTGTTGTGGAGACCGTCACCAAGACAAGTGTTATGAGCAGGTTCACCAACCTCCCCAAGTTCCAGTCAGAGGCCTCCAATGTTACGTGTGAGGGTAACGGAATGAAGAAAGCCTTCCGTGGTAAACAGTCCACATTCACCATCGACACGACCATGGCTGGTATGTATGATGGTCAGGGAGTTGAGGAGAGATGAAATTCCGACAAGATTTACTGCTGTTTTGAAATGTTATTAAATTTTTCCAAAAAGATTTTATCAAGAATATCTATCTAGTATTTAGTAGTACCTAGGAAATGTTTTGGTACAGATTCATCTCTAGGTAGATAAAATGTATAGGCTCTAAAAATCTACAGAAATCTCTGTTTAAACTGGACTTTGTCCATTGTGAGTTTTTTGCTGAACTGACCAAAGAATTTGGTTCCAACATTGACAATACATAGCAAGTGGACCCTTTACAATCCTGAACTTTCTGCAAACTGACCAAACTTTTATGATCCCGAGGTTGTGCAGTTTAGACAAAGTGTACTGTTTTAATGAATATTCCCAGTAGGGCCAAGATTTAATGAAATAATTATAATTTTGCATCCTGAAAAAACGCCAAATATATTTAGGAAATAATCCCCGATATGTGAGCCAGCCAAGTTGTATATTGTGTTTGACATATTTTTACCTTCTGTGGTTGTATGAGTGTTATAATTGAATGATTCTTTGGTTGTAGGTAACAACATTTTGTACGTGGGCATGGTAGGACCTAAGGGGCCCTGCGAGGAACTGTGCGTAAAGCACCAAGGTAGCGGCATCTACAAAATCAACTACATCGTCAAGGAGATGGGAGAATACATGTTAGTCGTCAAGTGGGGACAAGATAACATCCCTGGCAGTCCCTTCTGTGTCAAGGTCAACTAGTGTCAAGGTCATCTAGAGGGACATCATTAACAACTAATTGTGCTTATGACATTGAAAATATATGTCAAAGTACAAGGACATCTGCTTACAACATTGAAAAAAAAATTGTTTGTTTGCTTTGAAAAAAATGAAGTCATAAATTGTATGTATGGTTAATACAGAAGTGCTGGGATGATGGAGCAGTGGACATTTCTATCAAGAAATGTTGGAAAGGACTGGCAGTGATATGTGTGGAGAAGATTTTATGTGTTATCATTGCCGAAACAGCTGCATATACAAGTCATGTTTGCAAAGAGTTGACATGTATTACGATTCCTTGCAGACATTACCAGATATCCAGCCTTAAAATTCAATGTGATTTTACGTGCATACATTGAACTGTTTAAGATTTCGAAGTGCAATAATACGCTTTATACAATGTATGGACTTAACATCTGATTGTCAAAAAGTCTGTATTTCACCCAGCAGCATACTCACTGAAGAAATTAGTGTTGATGAGCGTATGAATTATCAATGAGGAGAAAAGGTTTGTAAATGGCATGTCCACCTTTTCACCATTAGAACCATATACCTGTTCCTCCCCCCAGGGACCACACAGACCGGTCCAGATCATAAGATGGAGCAGCCCACTGTAGAAGTGAAGGGGGAACAGGTTCATTGTTTATTGGGTTATGAATTATAGTCCATGCCTTCTCGAACAAATAAAAGGATAATGTCATACAACATCAGTACAATATCGTACTGAGAACGACATTCAGAACATTGTAGAACAATGGTGCGATACTTTCTCTTGCCGTAGTACAATTTCCTTGTATTAATATTTGCACCATCAGTTGATATTTGTTGTTAATGCTAGAATAACCAATTAAAGAATAGGTTTTTTTTAAAGCTTTTTGAAAGATTTTATCATAAAAGATAAATAATGTTCTTTTGTCCTATATACATTTACAAATGGTGCTTGTTTGTTTTATGAAGAATTCTGAATTTCTTCCATTTACGAGAAACTAAGATGTTGAAAATATTTCAAATTAGTGGAATGATTTGATCAGAGAGAAATTTACGAAATGAATCTGGTAAATACAAAGTCTTTAAGTTTACGTGAGTGACTTGTATGGATGAACTCCAAACATTGGCTGTTCATTGTCACAAAAACGTTTGTAAATTTCAAACTCTAACAAGACGCTTGACTTCTGTAGTTTTGTAGGGTATATTTCTCTATAGTTACCTTGTCTGTAGCAGAATTTTTTATTTTCTTGAAGTATTCTCTTGATTTTGAGAGAACACTGGTTGTATAGCTATCAATTCTAACTATTTAATCTCATGTGTTTGACGAATTATATTATAGACCTTCGCAGAAGGGTATTATTATTAATAAATTATATTATTTGCGAATGAATGATGGAGTACGAAATAAAGAGTTGACTTGGCATTTCGAAGTGGACTTTTTTGCTTGAAATATATCACAACTATGCACAAATCGTTTTTGTTAGAAATGAATACTTGTATACAATCTGACGGTTTCGTATACACATACGTTTTCATGTATATATTATTATATATAAAAATCTCATTCTTGATATATTTTATTGAAATATTTTTTTTCAAGTTTATATATTTAAAAGAGGAATGTTGGAAAGTTTGTTAACCCTTGTTTCCCCACTTACAAAAAAGGCCCCTGCATTTATTACTCTGTGAATATTCATCAAATGTCAAACCATTGCCCATTTTACCCTCCCCTGGAAGTCTAATTTTAGAACCAACAATAATGGATGGTCTGTACCAATATGAATTTTTAGGGGTTTAAGGGTATAAATCTCATGTATTATTAATAATATACCATGATGTCGGACACATTTGAAGCATCAACTTGATTCATGAAGCATTGAGGCCATTGCATTCAGAAAGGACTTAATATATCTCATTACTGAAACTGTCTATTCCTGCCCCCCACCCCTTCATCTGTTGTCCCCTGCCCACTACCTCCTCTCTGTTAAAAAACTGATATATATGATAAATATATAATATACATATATGCCAAATCTTTTTATCTAAAAATAGATACATTTTGTTTGAAACCATATACCGGTATCATTAAATATCTAATAAATTGACATTGAAATGAAAATATAGAATTTTGATGCTTATAATAATCTCGAGACCTAAAAATGTTTCGTCAGTTATATCTAATTAAAGTTAAAAAGCTTATTCCATTTAAATCAATAGCATTATTATATAATTGCTTTGCTCACAAGCACTGGAGTACCGAGTGACCCCAAGCATATCCCGACCTTTGACCTATTCATGGTTGCTATGGCATTGTGTATATGTATGCTAATTTCTACAATAAAAATGATAAAAACCTGCTATGCTATCTTTGTGGATATTTTATTTGAAAATCAGTTCAATTGTAAAAACATGAAGCTAAAAAAATGCATAGTCATGAATATCTTGCCATGATTTACACATGAGATGCACAACTTATCATCATTTGAAAATTTGCATTTGTCTAAAAAAAAATCTTCAATATTTTGGCTTAAATTATTTGAAAACTTCAGAAAATACTGGAACTCAATGTTTTTCTATGAACACAGCCATAACTTTATTTGATATCCTGGCAAAATATGTTTCTGACAATGCACAACATTCTCTCTGAAACTTACTAGCTGTTTGCATTCTTCTGTAAAGGTTCAAACATACTAAACAAATTGTTAATTAAAAATCGTACCTGCTCCCCAAGTTTCCCCAGAGCTACTCCCCTTTGAACTCCAGCATGCTGTGTTGTAATGTATTTCGGAATTGAAAGGAGAAAGAAAATTGCTATAAAGTATGAAGAGAACTGGTATGGATCCTGAATGAATCAGGTTGGCATTTTGGCATTAAATAATCATAATCAAATGCTAACATGAATGTCATGGGCCACATGAACAAAAGACAGATGAACGCTTAAACCAGTAAGACAAATGACATTCAGACTCCTGAACCTAAAGACTCATGAGCTTTAAACACAGGAATCCTTATGACATATGAGAAACACGGACCTACGAAACAGCTGAACATCTTGAGACAAGATAACAACTGAGGAATCATGGACATCAGTATATATATTTCCATCACACAACGGGAAACATGTAATAGGGCCCAATTAATCATCGTGATCATGTTTAACGTTCGCCCAGGTGAAGGGTTCTGTCCCCATTCCCAAACAAGGGACATACTGAAGTCTTCAAAATTTACTGCACAAACCAAAGCCTTTAAAATTGGAAGTTGTTATTTCCTGCTTAAAGTTCAGCATTTAGAGTAATGACAACAACTAGTTCACCCGTTGTCAGTATAATGTGACCGGGCGGAGTGCTATGCTGGGTGCCTTCGTCATGGCATTTCAGTGAGATTTCACTATAACTCGGCATCATATCTGCCTATCGTAAGGAGGCAAATACACCAACATATATACCTTGTATTCAGCATACATACACAACACACACAGGGGCGCTTCCCTAAATGACCTTAGCTGTTCATAGGATGTTAAACACGGCATCCAATAAAAGTATTGTCATTTTCACATATAAACGATATTAGCTTAAGCAAATAATATTCTATGCTCATGTGTTTCGGAAGAGCAGATGAAAAGTAATTTTCTTACTTTTTGCTGGCTACTTGTATGGTTGTGGGCGGCATTCCAAGTAGGTAGGGTTAATATGGACAGGCACACAATTGTCAAGATGCCATTAACAGGTATTATATCTTGATACCACTCGACTATTGCGACAGTCTTGGCTTTTTTTCTTTCTTTCTGAGTAACAAAGCTGACAAGGTAATATCACTATTGAGAAACATTGATTGCACAATGAATTACAATGTACAACACAATATGGATTACTCTGTACATTTCAATCTTGAAATATACAGGTGGCAGGCCCAGACACCTGTCTGTGATATTTCCAAATGTAGCCGGTGGATGTTGAATAATCCAATTAAGACAAAGAGGCCTAATTTATAAGATGCCTGTATTACTCAACAGTTACTTAATCCTAAAATGCTTGAGGTGTCTTTTGAAAAGTCACAAATGGGCAACCTCGATATCAAGCCACATGTCAATTATAAATTCAGGGCCCGTATTTATGAAACTGTTCTCATGCTCCAGTATGGATTCTGTGCTGACATCAACTTTCTTCTTTATCACTTAAATCATGTCAAACGATCAAAACGTCAAAAGTAAACATTGAAAACAGTACTCAAGACAGATATAAGTCTCTTCAATCTATCCCAAGTCATTGACAAAATAAGATTTTATTATTAATTTATAACCGGAACAACAGATTAGGCTTACGGACAAAATCCATGCTTGAACACAAGAACAATTTCATGAATACGGGCCCATGTGTTGAGTTCTTGAGAAGAGTATTGAACTTTCTTAACATACAATTGGTTGTATGTCTATTGCGATCTGGGTTATGGGACTCTGTCATTCATTTTGACATATGTTAAGAGCCCGTCAACCGCAAGCTATGTACCGAAATATCACGATCCTGTGTAATATGTTTCTTGAGATGTTTCTTGAAGTTTTAACCAATTGATCACCTTCAAATTCATAGTCGGTACTTAAGGTCGTTCATTTGTGATATCCCGTAGCCAAGCAAGCTACATGACAAATGATCAGGACTTAGCGTAATGGGGTTCTAGAGAAGATGTTTGAAAAAAAAAACCACATTTGACCCCTCTGACCTTGAATATGAGTCAAGTTATTTATTTTTTCACGTGTGATGCCAGATAAAAAAAAATGCCGTCGTGACTCAATGTAAGTATAGTTCTTTGGACGTAATTTGAAGATTATAATACATTTGACCCTGTAACCGTGAATATTGGTCAATGTCATTTGAAAATAATAAATCTGCTTGCCCTTTATCCCAGTAAGCTAAATGCCAAAAATATGACCCTGCACTCTTTTGAAGCCACACGAATATTTGACTCTTGTGAACATGAAAACGGATGAAGACAGTTCTTTACACCAGCTTCATTATGTATGATATGCATACAAAATATGTCGACTCTAGAATTCGTGCATATTAAGAATAAATTGTTTAAAGTTGTCAACATATTTACCCATGTGACCTTAAATATGAGCCAATTTGTTAATTTAACAAAGCTGACAGATCCCCCAACCTAGTAACTAACATGCAACATATCAAGACTGGAACTCGTGGTTCTAAAGTAGTGTGAAGTTCGCAGAAAAGATTTGAAAACGATTATAAAACAGTATTTGTCACTTTCTTATCCTCATAACATGCATCTAAAAAAACACAGGAAACATCATGTCGTCTTTTAAAAATTGAAAACTCCCAGAATATGGCAAGCTTTTTACATAAGTAAATTTGAGAGCCAGTGCTAAGCGTTGCTAAGGACAAGGAGGCTGACAAAAATCGTAATTGCTGTCAATTGTCTGTTTACAAAAGTATGATTTGGGCAGATTTTCTTCAAGCAATTGCAGTTATAAAAGAACTGGTAAATGAGTCTTTTTGGTGTATATTGGATTTGGTTTAGCGAGGACCCATCGTATACACTTGCAATGATAATACTAATAAAAGAGGCCCCAAGGTCATACAGATTGAAACGTTTCCAACAGGAAATGTAACAAAAACAAAGAGATAAATAAAAGGCATTCGACTCTTTTACGGCGTGCAAAGAGAGCAACCTATCTATATATTTATGGGTCGCCATTTTCGTATTTATTTATAGTACCGTTTGTGATATCAACCATTCGAATATGGCCGGTGTTTGAACAGCGAGCATCGGTGGCGGACCCAGGGGTGTTGCCCTAGTTCCCCGGGCAACACTGTTTTTTCTGTGTCCAAAAATAATCTGGACCAAGGTTTTTGAAGATTTTCCTCTATTTCATATGGAATTTCCTTTTAATATCAACCATCCCTTCAACTATGATTTTCTATGGCTTCTCTTTGCCAGCAGTTTGAATATCTATATAAGCCTAAGAGTCCACTATGGTGTGTTCCCTGAACGCATACATATTGAGAACAATAGGTAGAAACATCAAAGGGAGTGTAATTATAGTTTGTAGTATATATCCTGATATATTTTACCTGTAGGTCTACCTGTGATTATTAAAGGTAACAAGTTTGTATCATATTTGTATTGTATTTTACCTGTAGATCTACCTGTCAGTGTGACAGCCCCAACAGCTCCTCTATAGTTTAAGTTTTATTTATTCACTCCGACACACTTACGTGTGTAACAAGAGGTCACATACATATAGTAAGTATGACACATGGCGTGTGATGTACACAATTACAACATTGTACATAGCATAGATACATATAGAAGTACACAAATAGTACAGAAATTAAGTTAATATTTTTTCAAGCTTTTCTATGAATTTACAAAGTTTTGTGTAAATTTTTACATTAAATATATTAAACAATCCTTGCATTTTTAATTGACTTGGATAAGTGAAATAATATTTTGGTATATATTTCTCTCTTAGACATTTAACTAAAACACTTTCACATATAAATAAGTAATGAAATTCATCTCCAATGTACAAATTACATAATGTACAGGTTCTTTCTTGACGAGGAATACCTAACCATCTTCCTTTTTCTATGGGTAAATGCATATTGCAAGAACGGAATTTACACATTATTTTCCTATCATTTGTATTAAGTTTAATTAAATATTTTTCTTGTTCAAACTTTGTCTTTAATATTGAATATGTTTGTCCTCTAGAGGAGTTAAGAATATTATCAAACCATCTCTGTATAAATTGATCCTTCAGTCTATTTTTCACAAGCCTCTTAATTTCGTCTTTTGAAAAAGAACATGTAGATTGATAGTACCACACATAGTTCAGGCCAGTTTGAGAAAAAATATCTTTAACATATGCGAGCCATTTAAATAACATAGTTCCATTTTCATGTAATGTATACATAAGCTTATAAATAGTACTTGATAACTTACTAGAGGTAATCAACTTATGCCAGAATACTATTATTCTACATTTAATTTCGATGTCTAGTGGGTATCTTCCAAGCTCACCATAAACAATGAAATTTGGTGTACTTTTTCTTACATTTAGTATATATTTACAAAATTGAAGATGGATTTTTTCTATAATATTTGTGTTTTCAAAACCCCATATTTCTGATGAATACAGAAGAACTGGCATAATTAATGAATCAAATATCTTCAATTGTAGATCAACTGGTAAAGATATGTTTCTCAATTTCTTATAGACAGCAAACACTGATTTCTGTGCTTGTTCAACAATTTTTTTCCTTGCTTTAAAGAAGCTACAACTAAAATTAAAGAATAATCCTAGATAGGTATACCCTTCCAGTATTTCTAATTCTACGTTAC